TAATTTGTCAAACAGGCACGCTCTGCAGGTCGGCATCAGTATTGCCAGATGTCATAATTTATTATTACCCAAAATGTTAAGTATTTCTATATAAATTAATATAATTTCCTTATACTTTATTATAAATTTAAAACTGTTTTCATTACGTTCTACCACGCAATCACTACGAGATAAACAAAAAAAAAATGCTTTTTACGCTGTCTTCACATCATGTTTCTACCTTCATTGGTAAAATGTTACGTATCTATATACGATTTACAAATATTAAAAATGTCAATACAATTACCCAAATTTCTCTAGGCCTATTTTAGCTTTTCCACAACAAAAGTTTTTACCCACAAATTGTGAAAGGAATGTTCAATCGGGCAACGCCGGTCGGTGTGCGCACGCGCAAGTTAGCACGTCACCAACATTCTAATAAGGCGCGAGCGCAGTAATAGAACTGTCTAAGATATATCGATATAATTATTAAATAGTTGATGCGAACAAGCTTGTTTATTGGTAGACTCTGTACAAATTCTATTGCTATAAAAATTAAACAATTTCTCTTTAACATAGTCTAATTGGTTATATGGTTAAGTCAAATTAAGTCGCAAGTTTATATAATCAATACATACAATCAATACAGTTATACAAGTCGATTAATTATTTCACACTTACTTTTTGATTTTTATATAAAGTATATTAGTTATAGATATAATAATTTAATATGTTTATTTAATGTTTATTCATAAAATTCTCAATAATAAAATTCATTGTGCAGATTTACCGAGTTCAATCCAATTTATGGTACCTCTAAATTATCCTCGACACCCTATAACTAGAACATTTAGCTTACCTCGCTGCAGAACAAACCTAGGACTGCATCAGCCTCTGGCCAGGATTAGTGCGTCATACAATGAAATTAACGCCAAATTACCTGAAATTGATATAGTGCATGATAATTCGAATTCGTACAGGAATAAATTGCTGAAGCACTTTGTACAATAATCTAATAAAAATTAACTCTAATTATCATAATATATATATATATTTTTTAATATTTTTTAATTCAATTCACTCATAATCGTATTTTCTGATATTGCTCACAACTTGGGTCACATGTTTGTTTTTATTATTTACTTCATTTTCTCACACTGTATAACTATGTTAAAGCGAATGCTGTGAATACCTATAATAGGCGTGTGCATTAATATTGTATTATATTTAATGTTTGTTATACCTACATGTTATAATGCAATATGCTGTTGGTGTTCCGCAAATAAATAAATAAATATTATCGCTCAAAAAATGTCATCTTTCATTTATTGTTGTCATTGAAATACTCATCTACGTAATAGTAATGTTTTCAAAGGCTTTAATTATGGGACAAAATAAATATATAAAAAATATAATAGCTTTTTTACTTGAAACCTCTTGGGCTCGTTCCATTCATCAGGTTCGCGTTATTATAATATTATTTCGAGGTTTTTCCTAGAGACTACAGTTTGAGGTTCTTCAAAAAAAGAATATTAAGGTTTCTTCAAGGTTCACAACCTAGTGTTGCAGACGTCCTATAGTAGACAGGCTATACTGATATTTTACCATCAGACGGACTATATGCTTATTTGCCACTTTATTGGTGTAAAAAAAAAACACTTGTAACTACTACTAGTAACTCTCTGCAGGAAAGAATTAACTTCCTTCCAAAATTTCACAAAACCTGCATAGGTTGAGTACTTTTTGTTTAACGTCTGGAAAATGCTTTATGCAGACCCATACACCTTGTAGGAGGTGAATGGGTACTGTGGGAATTCCCCTGTAAGGCGGGGGTGTACCCACCAAAAACCAGACGATGCACCCTCGAGGTGCCATATGTCGGAGACGGGTTCGCTTTCGCACTCACCACCTCTCCAACGGCACCGGTTGAGTAATAGAATTTAAAAATATGGCGATAAAGTCTTAACTCGATTATGTTTATCAATATTATACATAACAAAGAAAACCAGAGGAAGACTGTACAAACGTCGTTTGCTTGGACACTTCTGTCCCATTCGTGTTTATACCGTGAAGCAGTTGTGTTTGCATGGTTGTGTTTCGATTTGAAGGGTGGGATATGGCGTGAATTTACAGGGTACAAAGGAATAACATCTGAGCCCTCAGGAATGGCAACGCATGGGGGGTATCATGGGCGAAACAGTATACTCTGTTATGTCTATAGGCGACGGTTACTACTTTCCATCAGGTGGGCCGTCAGCTTGTTTGCCATTCTGAGTTGTATAAAAAAATAAAAAAACTCTGTCCCATTCGTGTTTCAACCGTAAAGTAGTTGTGTTTGCATGGCTTTGTTTCGGTTTGAAGGGTGGGATATGGTAGTGAACTTACAGGGTACAGAGGAATAACACCTGAGTCCTCAGGAATAACAACGCAATAGGGGTATCATGGGCGAAACAGTATACACTGTTATGTCCATGGTGCTGCTCGTGTCTATAGGCGACGGTTACCACTTTCCATCAGGTGGGCCGTCAGCTTGTTTGCCATTCTAAGTTGTATAAGAAAGAGTCCGTCTATGAATAGTTGTGGTTTCCTGGCGGGCGGCTCATGTTACTAAACACGCTGTAGCGGCACGTGCTGCCGATGTTAGCTAATTGCTATATTAGAACTCAATGTGTTATTAGCAACAAGGTGTATTTCCTTTTAATACAATGAAATATTACTTGAAAATATTATTATTAACTTTCCGGGGGGGGAGGGGGGGGGAGTTTGTATTCCCACTCATATTCCTAGCAATATACCCTATTCCCGTGGTCAACCTCCACGTGGCTCACCCTGGATAGCATCGTGTTGAATTTCACGTGTATTTATCACGATGGGCTAACCGACCTGCTTTTTCAGGGGAGAAGGGATTGTTAGTAATGGGGAGATTAGTCCTCATTGTTACCAATATACCTTATCAGGTCGACCTCCACGCGGTTCCCTCTAGAAACTATTGTGAGTAATTTATCATTGAATTCGTCACGATGGGCTAACTGACTTGCCTTTTCATTCTCATCTATCACCGGTCTCTTTCTATCTCTCACTGGTGCCCCGCCAATGTTATATATATATAAATATATATATATACGACAAACTCAGTTATATATATATATATATATATATATATATATATATATATATATATATATATATATAATAACTGAGTTTGTCGTTTTCCACAACTGTTTCGACTTCATCAGAAATATTGTTATTTTTTTTTTAAATCCGAAATTTAGAAAACTTTTTTGTGGTTATTAGCCATGAATATGGGTTGTAGTCAATTTTAAACATCGGCAATAAAAAACAAATCATGTATGTAGGTACTATTTACCTGCAAAAGCTTTTTTTACTGCGTTAAATCCCGATTGTATATTTAAAATACGTATTGTGTTTTGCCATTAAGGCCTGAACGAATAAACTGATATAAAGTATTAGCAAGTTTTTTGTAAAATGCTAAATTTTGAATCCCATTAGAAAAGAAGACTAATAGAATACGGCAAATGGAACGTTCACCACATTTAATTTCTTTTTTTTTTTAGTATTTTTAGACATACATGCATATCTCCAAAAAACCGATTTGTTGTAATTGTATGAATATTTTTTTTTGTCAATTTCCTTATTTCTTCTTGTCAATTTCCTTGTTTATTCCTGTTTTTAACAAACAGAGAGATTGCTTTTAGTAAATATATGATCATATTTAAACAAAAAAACCTAAAATATACATGTAACTTATTTTTATATCTCATATAAGAGCTTAAAAAGCGGTTTGCTGTGCCGGTACGATGACAAACTTCGTTAATATTCAGTAAAAGAATTTAAACCGTGTACAAGTATTTCTAGTTTCCTGGTTACCATTTCTGATTACCAAACACATTGGGTTGGTACCTGTTGCGGGCATTAGTTATTAATTGCTATTTAAGAACGCATCAATTTACAAGCGACGAGCTATTTTTATTATTTTACCTGATGGAAAGTAGTAACCGTCGCCTATAGACATAAGCAGTACCATGGACATAACAGAGTATACTGTTTCGCCCATGATACCCCCCATGCGTTGCCATTCCTGAGGACTCAGGTGTTATTCCTCTGTACCCTATAAATTCACTGCCATACCCCACCCTTCAAACAGAAACACAGCCATGCAAACACAACTGCTTCACGGTAGAGACACGAATGGGACAATATGGAGTAATACGAGTATACACTTTAATACATAAATATATATAATGGTTCTGATATTATAAACTTATATGGTTGTAAAGATGTTTGAATGTCTCTTACTTAATCACTCTTCAACGGCTGAACAAATTTGAATGAAATTCAGGTTATGACATACTTAACACATATAGTTTACTGATTCACGCGAACAGTAGATAGTACGAATGAGTGATATAGATACCGATCCGATATCTATATATCGAGTTTCTCTAGATGTTGATGATGGAAAAAGGGAACTGTTATCACTAATTTCAGTATCGTCCATATCGGTCGGAGAGATATCCAATCGATATGGGCGATATGTTAAAAGTAAAGTTAAAAGTTACGAATAAGAGAAAAGTCTGTTATCTAACATTATTGTTTGGATAACAGACTTTTAATATATTAATTATTGGACCAATATATTGATATTGTAACTACATTGCATTTTATACTTTGCATATTACCCATACCTAAATGAATTACCATTATAGGGTATATTGCTAGATTAAACCCCATTACTAACAATCCCTTTCCCCCCGCAGCTAGGCTTTGGTGATGTTTTAAGAGGGTTCCCATAAATGCTTCTTATGATACCCACGGGAAAGTAAGAGGTGGTCTATTCTACGTCGGGACCACACGGAATATTTTATTGTTATTTTTTTGGGAATTTTCAAATCCGCCATCGCTCACTACTCGCTCCCCCGCACAATGTGAGCTCGTAGTAAAACCCCCGACGATTCCTCAATGAATCACAATCGGTCGCGTGTCGCGTCACGTACTCGACGTCGACTCACGACAGTATACGTACCGCCACCAAACTGTCCACTAGTGTCCGTACCGCTATCACTATACCGGTTAATTACGGTTTTTTTTAGTGTTGTGTTTTGTGTATTTTATATCGGATTTATTTTGTAATCGGTTTTTTTTTTATTGTGTTTATTTTGAAATGTTTTGTAAATGAACGTGAAAGTGTATAATACATTTGGATGTTTATTACTCAATTACAATTAAACGGCTGAGCGGATTCGAATGAAATATGGTACGTAGATAGACCATAATTTATATTAGTTTTTTTTATTTTTTATTGTACAATAGTGTTGTTAAATACACGAAATATAGTTAATAATTGATAAATGAAAGTTGAGTCAGTCACCTTTAGGTTGTTTTGATTACTTATTTATAATTAAGTGATTTTAAAGAAAACTACACAGATAAATCTTGATTTATACTAATGATTAATATACCACAGGGGGACTTTGTATAAAAGTCGTTTGCTTGGGCACCTCTGTCCCATTCGTGTTTCTACAGTGAAGCAATTGTGTTTGCATGGCTGTGTTTGGTGGGATATGGTAGTGAATATATATGGTACAGAGGAATAACACCTGAGTCCTCAGGAATGGCAACGCATGGGGGGGTATCATGGGTGAAACAATATACTCTGTTATGTCCACGGTACTGCTCATGTCTATAGGCGACGGTTACCACTTTCTATCAGGTGGGCCGTCAGCTTGTTTGTCATTCTAAGTTGCATAAAAAAAACAAATACATAGATATATACCTGGATATTGATATAAATTCACGCGAGTGAAACCACGGGATACAACTATTATTAGACTACTTATCAAGTTTGACATTTTCATTATTCTCCAACCGCAATTGCCGAGGTGAAAACCTTGTAGAAAATTACAAATAATTATATTTTTTGCTGTATTTTTTCTACTACGAAATAACGAATTTAAACGTAAAAAAAACGGATTGGTACTTCAATGAATGACGAGGTATTTTGTTTGAATTTAGAACGTGGAATCGCGTGTTGACTTTGAAGGAATGCCTATTTAGAGACATGCGATTTTATGGCCATAAAAAACAGAAGCTACAATTGGTACGAAATTAATATGGAGAGGCAATTGGGCAATTGCCTAAAGCGGCAAATTTAGGGCGCAGCTGTCGGGCAATCAATATGAGAGCTTTTTATTATTGTTGTCAATGTAAAATCTTAATAATACATATAAAAAAAATAGTAAATAGGCGATATCTGTACATAGGAAATATTCAAGAAAAAATATATGAGAGAGTCTTAATAAGATCAATTAGAAATTTTGTTTATTTTATTTTATATTTATATATATAAATTTGTTGTTAGTCGTTTGCTTAGGCACCTCTGTCCCATTCGTGTTTCTACCGTGAAGCAGTTGTGTTTGTATAGTTGTGTTTCGGTTTGAAGGGTGGGATATGGCAGTGAATTTACAGGGTATAGAGGAATAGCACCTGAGTCCTCAGGAATGGCAACGCATGGGGGATATCATGGGCGAAACAGTATACTCTGTTATGTCCATGGTACTACTCATGTCTATAGGCGACTGTTACCACTTTCCATCAGGTAGGCCGTCAGCTTGTTTGCCATTCTAAGTTATAGAAAAAAAAATACATACATTAATATAAAGGAATATATATCCTAATTTAACATACATATTTTCTATACTGATTCATGCAGGGAATACCGCGGGATATAGCTTGTAATCAATATCTACTTATGAACAATCGTATATTTAAATGGGTACGTAAATGAAGGAAATGAGTCACTGATCGAAAATGTGGAAATGATTTATAATAAGCATATACCCAGACAAAAGGAGTGTTATTATTGTCAATTTGCTTTGTCTAGCAGTGGACGGATAATAGTTGAAATGATGAATAAATAAATAAATAAAGATACAGGTATGTAGGTACTGTTTACCTGCAAAAATTTTTAGCGCGTTAAAGTCCGGAAAGTTTAAAAATATGTGTGTACAATGCAAAGGTTTAAAATTAATTTACTTTACAAGTATATGAACGCTGTCTCATGTTCGGTGGCCACACTGAAAATCAACGCTGAGATATTGCTAAATATTAAAGCATGTCATCCCATTCTTTTTTTATGATACAACTTAGAATAGCAAACAAGCTGACGGCCCACCTGATGGAAAGTGGTAACCGTCGCCTACAAACATGAATAGTACTATGGACATAAGAGAGTATACTGTTTCGCCCATGATACCCTCCACGCGTTGCCATTCCTGAGGACTCCGATGTTATTCCTTTGTACCCTGTAAATTCACTGCCATATTCCAGCTTTCAAACCGAAACACAGCCATGCAAACACAACTGCTTCGGGGGGAAAGGGATTGGTAGTAATGGAGACTGAGAATCCCTTTGCTAGTAATACACTCAACCAGGTTGACGTCCTCGCGGTTCTCCCTGGAAACTATCATGATTAATTCTTGATGAATTTATTATGATGGCCTGTTTTCATTCTCATCTATCACCCTTCACTGGTGCTCCGCCAGCGTGTCCCGTTGGCGCAGATGGGGTTACCATACCATTTTCACCCATAAAAAAAAACACAACTGCTTCACTGTAGAAACACGAATGGGACAGAGGTCGCCAAGCAAACGACTTTTGTACAGTCTCCCTCCGATAAATATTCACTGAAATACATTATATTGTTAAAAAAAAAAAAAAATTTCACATATCTGTGTGAAATACCGAATTAATGTTTTTCTATTACTATATGACTTTTTGTGTCATAAAAAAAGTCGGATAGATTACATTAGTCGTGATCAAGAGCCATTGGCGTTGTTAAAAATATTTTTTTATATAAATTTTAAAGTCTCTCATAATTTTTTTTTTTTTATAGAACTTAGAATGGCAAACAAGCTGACGGCCCACCTGATGGAAAGTGGTAACCGTCGCCTATAGACATGAGCAGTACCATGGACATAACAGAGTATACTGTTTCGCCCATGATATCCCCCATGCGTTGCCATTCCTGAGGACTCAGGTGTTATTCCTCCGTACCCAGTAAATTCACGCCATATCCCACCCTTCAAACCGAAACACAGCTATGCAAACACAACTGCTTCACGGTTGAAACACGAATGGGACAGAGGTACCCATGCAATTGACTTTTGTACAAAATCTCCCTCTGGTATAAATAAAGGTGCTTACATAATTGACAGCCACTCAACTTATGACGAATCCATTGAACCTTGGATAAAAACATGTCGATTCCTCTGAACTATGATTCAATAAGTATTACGCTTAATACAAGATAGAAAGTCTATTTATATTGAATATGATAGCGTGTTGATAAGTTTTTCCTTTTGATAACCTGTCGTACATAACAATGGAATACTTGAACGATTACTCATTATAAGTCATTAACATATATTGGACATACGTACGTACTTGACAAGTAATTTCCTATTAATACTACCTTACCGGCCATATGTCCATATATAGATATTATAAATATGTATTTACTTTAATATTTTTATTAATATTTTATATATGAGAGTGAGTTTGTTTTCCCTTTTAGCACTTTATATTCTTCTTTAATTACTATGAAATTTGCTGTACACGTACTATAGTGGGGTCATGAATTCCATCATTTTTGGAATCATTTTTGTCCCGGCCAATAAACGGTAATCATGCTCAAATTCTCAACTAATAGCTGGTATCAAATAATTTCCTATAAATATTACACCTGAGTCCTCAGGAATGGCAACGCATGGGGATATCATGGGCGAAACAGTATACTCTGTTATGTCCATGGTACTGCTCATGTCTATAGGCGACGGTTACTATTTTCCATCAGGTGGGCCGTCAGCTTGTTTGCCATTCTAAGATGTATAAAAAAAAACACAAATATGACCAAAATTTAGTTGATTTTCCTGTTTTTGGAAAAGTGGTACGTGACCATTAAATTTATCAACCAGGAGAAAATTTTGTTGGTTCATAATTTAAAGAACGTGTAATGAGACAGTGTATGGTGGCCGCGCACCTCAGATTTGTTCATAATCTCTTGACGTGAGTCTGAGATAGTGTATTTATAGTTTTAATCGTTATCACTCGTGAAACCAATGACAGTACGTAATGGATGGGTTGACAAGCATGACATGACAGCTTCGCAAATAATATTAGATAGTGCATGCTTTAAAATAATGTTGAAAATTGCTTCTTTATAAAAAAAAGACATCGTTCATACCAACTATTTCACGGTTGAAACGCGAATGGGACAGAGGTACCCAAGTAAACGACTTTTGTACAAAGTCTCCCTCCGGTTAATGATGAATAATTAAAAAGAAACTACCATTATACGCGCATCTTTGGGTCACCGATTTATAAGCCAAAGGTTGTCTGTAAGAGATTGCTCTAGCGATAAGCCCGCCTTTTGTACCTTTATGTCTATATTTCAATCTGTACTTTAAACTATTGTATTTCACTTGAATTTTCTAATTGTCATTGTATATTTTTATGTTTTGGTGCAATAAAAATTAAATAAAAGAGCACATTCCTTTTTAAAAGGTCGGCAGCACACCTGCAATGCCGTGAGTGTTGTGGGTGAGCATGGGCGGCGGTAGTCACTTACCACCAGGTGAGCTGCATGCTCGTTTGCCCCCTGTGTTGTAAATAAATAAATAAATCAAAGTAAACCACATTTCCTCTCGATCTGCAAGTTTCCTGTTTCCTGTTATATAATTACATTCCTTGTAATTATGCTAATTAACATATCATTCTGCCGATATGATATACCGTTATCGATTATTGATTTCCGCGGTACAATTGGAAGAAAATAAGGATGGGAAAAAAATAACTTAGAATTTCCTCTCTTTGTATTTCCTCGCTTTACTTAGAAAGCACGAGGTTTACTGTGCTAGCAGATTACATCGTCAATTCTGAATTTTAATGATTCTTTTTATAGAAATTATTCTTGTTCAATACAGAGCAAAAAATATTTGTTAACACTGTTCGTATTTTGCTCCGCAGAAAGCAGTTATTTACTAGGAATTAACCATAACCCTTCTTTGCATGTTTTTTTTAGTGGTGAAATAAATCAAGGTGATATAATTCATGTTTAAAATTAAAGGAAAAATGGTTAAAAAAATAAATTTGACAGCTATGGTTTTTTTTTCTGCAATGGACATTAAAAAGGTATCCAGAAACGATCAACTTAAAGTGAAATGGTTCTTTTATATAATTTTTGGGTATTCGATGTTATGATGGAAATTTCCACTACTATGCAAAGAAGGGTTAAGACAGTACAAATTGAATGTCCATTACTAACAATAAGCTGTCAGGTCGACCTTCACGCGGTTACTCCTGGTAGATGCACCTCAATGATCCGACTGAACTGACTCCATCCTCACAGGGGGAGGGATTGTTAGTAATGGGAAGGTTAGTCCCCATTGCTATCAATATGCTCTTTCAGGTCAACCTCCACGCGGTTCTTCCTGGAAACTATTTTAATTTGTCGTTGAATTCGTTACGATGGGCTGACCTGTTTTTTCATCCTCATCTATCACCTCTCACTACCCCGCCAGCGTATACCGATAACGCAGACGGGATCATCGTGCCCAAGCAATCGACTTTTGTACAAAGTCTCCCTCTGGTCTGACTAGCGCCATCTACCTTTCTCTCTGTACTTATCTACCATTTATGCCAGGTTGTCTGTAAGAGATCGCTTCTAGCGATAAGGCCGCCTTTTGTATATGCACATTCTATATAAATACTCCTTGTATACATCTCTATTGTGCACAATAAAGTGTTTATTATTATTAACAATACCTACCTTTACTTTACAATGTATTTGAACTTACATTTATAAGACAATTGTCTAATCTCAGTTCTCTTTCAAATAGGTACATTATATTTATAGTCACAGAGACATCATTGTTCACTACAATTTCCTTATTCTTACCGTACACAAGGTTAGATAGGCGCTTTATTTTCATACTACAGTTTTTCTATATAAAGAACATGAAATCCATTTGATTTTAAGACGATGCCTATTTATCTTCACCCTTGCGGGCTTTTTTTTTATGGATGATAATGGAATGGCAACCCCGCTCGCGCTAACGGTACACACTGGCGGGGCACCAGTGAGGGATGATAGGTGAGAATGAAAAGACAAGTCAGTTAGCCCATCGTGATGAATACACCTGGAATTCAGCACGATAGTTTCCAGGGGGGACCACGTGGAGGTCGACCTGACAGGGTACATTGATAGCAATGGGACTGGTAGTCCGCATTACTAACAATCCCTTTCCCCTTAAAGCCCCTTGCGGGATAAACAAATCGTGTCTAATTTTACATACATCATCTTTTGTTTCATCTGCTTCTATAAATGATCTCATGAGAGAGGGAATGGAATTATTAGTAATGGGGTCTAATTACTCCATTGCTAGCAATATACTCTATCAGATCGACCTCCACGCGGTTGCCCCTGGACACTTAATTCTTGTGGAATTCGTTACCATGAGCTAACTAAGCTGCTTTCTTTCCTCACCTTATCATTCTTCACTAGTGCCTCACTAGTGTATACCAATAACGCAGGCGAGGTTACCATTCCGTTATCACCTATTAATTTTGTTAGAAAAAATAGACTTTAATTGTGGCCAAACCAATTATTTTGATTTAAAAACTAAACTATTTAACGGATTTTGATAAAACTTTTAACTGTAAACCTATCTATAAGTGTATCCTTTCAGATTAAAAAAAATCAAATCAGTTTACAAGTGACAGAATTATGTGGTAACAAAAATAAATAAAAGAACCGAAGAAACGTTCTTGAGTGACGACCGTGTACGGGCAAATGCAGTGTAGGACGACCCCCCACTAGATGAAGTGGCGACCTAAAATGCATTGCAGGGAAACTGTGGATGCAGGTGGCTCGGGGCCGTTCTTTATGGCAGTCTATGGGGGAGCTTGTTTATGTTCAGCTGTGGACGGATAATGGCTGAAACGATGATGATGATGATGATGTTGATGAAAAATAAAAAAATATAACGGAATTAAAAACTTTTTTAAGTCGGTTAAAAAAATTATTCGATATTAAAAAATTACACGAGACTGCAAGAAAACTAACATTCTAATCGCATCAGTAACGCGTTGTTATAATTATAAAAGAAACGCAACTTTATGGGTTTTTTTTTATGTAATTTTTATGACCCTTTTTGCATTTAATTATGAAAATTAACGTAAAATTATCATTTAAATTTGTATTAACACGGGTGTAACGCAATACACACAAAAATACTAGTTGCCAGTGTGTTGCTTTTTACCATTACCAGCGCTGCGCTGCTTACACACTAGGTCGACCTTCCCGCGGTCCCCCTTGAAAACCATCGTGCTGAGTTCCAAGTGTATTTTTTTATGGGTAAAAATGGTATGGTAACCCCGCCTGCGCTAACGGGATAAGCTGGCGGAGCACCAGTGAAGGGTGATAGATGAGAATGAAAACAGGCCAGTTAGCCAATCATGATGAATTTATCAGGAACTAACCATGATAGTTTCCAGGGAGAACCGCGAGGAGGTCGACCCGGTTGGGTATATTGCTAGCAATGAGATTCTCAGTCTCCATTACTAACAATCCCTTTCCCCCCTCCAAGTGTATTCATCACGATAAGCTAACTGACCTGCCTTTTCACCTATCGTCTCTCACTGGTGCTCCGCCAGTGTATACCGTTAGCTCAAGCGAAGGTACCATTCCATCATCATCCATTAAAAAAAGAAAAGGGTATTATTGCAAGCAATGGCGGTGATAGACTCCATTGTTACCAAAACTTTACCCCCAGTAGGGAAAAGTTTGATAAAGGGATAATTTAAAAGTATTCGGCGAGCTTGTACGAATAGATTAATGAATCGATAATATCGCACGCAATGAATGGAGTAATCGATTATAAACGATTATTCCATTCATTTGCGTAAGTTTTCGTACCTTATGTAAATTTTATAATGGATTTGCTAATCGTTTTCATATAATTCTTGGCGGACAGTATCGATTAATCCGATTGATTTTTAGCAACACTAGTTTTGAGCTTTACTCTGCTACGTGTATCACAACTAGATCAATTGCATCTTCGTCCTTGCCTTGTGTATTGTGATTTAAAATTGAGGCAATAAGGTCGTAATTAGCATACAATGACTTTTCTAATATCAAAAATAGTTGATAAAAAAAGTAATTTAAAACCATAATGCCATTATGATAAGGATGTATTTGAATTAATATGTCGTAGTTTTTTTTTTACGTTTAGATAACACGTCTTCAGGAAATAATCTTTAAATTTAGGTCAAGAGCGAAATAAATATAAATACGGAAATACATAAAAAAAAAGGTTTGAATACTAATGTTTATCAATATATATATATATATATATATATATATATATATATATATATTTACGGTTGATATCTGAGATTATATTTATCACAGACGAGAAAGGCAAAGGGTGTTTACCCAAACAGCCATGTCTGTAGTAATATATTCTCATTGACTTTGACCACAGATAATATAATCATTTTTCTAAGCCTCGACCTTGCCAGTGATTATCGGATTCGGAAAATTATTTAACTGTTTGATAATAATGGATGTAGATAGTTCGGAATTTTTTTTTTTATATATAATTTTATTTTAAATTCGGGATATTCCTGGGTGAGCGTATTGGAAGACTGTAAGGCTCACCCAGTGGCTGTAATAAATAAATAAATAAATTTAATTAATTAATAACATATGGATTAGGCATGGGTAGTATTTAGTAAATTATCTTCTCCCTAACTGCATTGGGTTGACTGGAAGAGATCTCTTTTAGAGATAAGCCCACCCTTGTAACAAGTTATTAAATTAATCGCTGTATCTTTTTTTTTTTTTTTTATATATATATATATATATATATATATATATATATATATATATATATATATATATATATATATATATATATATATATATATATATATATATATATATATATATAAATGTTTAACAATTGTTTTGATATCATCCATAAGTCTTCTATATATATAGACATCGATAAATTGACATTTATATTGCAATTTCTTTTATTTCCAGAAGCGTGCGAGGACAGTAACGACTTCGAAGCAGTGACCGCAACAAGAAACAGTTTATTCAGAGGTCGTCCACTATGTGAACAAACACAAAATGCTGCTCAAACTGTGCAAATCATGCCAGTAGTAAGTCAATCAATTTGTTAATATATGTATTTTATAATTTATTGTATCACAAAAAATATAGTAAATTAATTATCGAAACCCATTCCTTAAAACTAGTGTTAGTTATTCATTAATTTATTTACTTATTGAGGGACTCAAGTTTCTTTACCTGGAAAAAAAATTAAATTAAGAAAAAAAAAGAGTTATCACAGTTGTGTTCCTGAGGGTCTGTTATTATTATATATATTCTTTATTGCACTTGTATGTTACATATAAAATAATCTATTTATAAATGTTGTGAGCAAGGGTGGACTTATCTCTGACAGAGATCTCTTCCAGTCAACCCAGTACAGTAAGAAAGCATTTCGTTAGCAGACAGCTGGAGTGCTACAACTATTAATACATAAACAAATATACAGTTAAATAAAATATTAAAATATATAATAAAATATTACATAAATACATACACTATAAATACATACATATACTTATATAATATATGTTAAAATAAATTAATATACTACTTACATTAGAAATTTCGTTTAATGATTTTAAGATTTGAGAGTTCAATTAGAAAAATACAAAAAAAAAATATATTACTCAAAGACAAGTTTTTTCAGGTTGAAAAACCTGCGGCACTGCGACGTTTTCAGGATCTTTAATGATCGGCCATTTTTAATGTTCGCTGCTAATTCCTATCAATGATAGACATTTTTAGCATATATGTTCCACAGTAGATATATTGGTTATGTATGAGTGGGCTACAGCCACAAATTAAGTGCTGCAGCGTTCTGAGGGTTTAACTTAAAATTTGGTGTATGTTATATCTTATTATGAACTAGCGGGCAAAGCAAAAAAGCTAACTTATTATGAATGTGAAAATGAATTTGTCAACACTCGACGCCTAAACGGCTATATCAATTATTATGAAATTTGGTGCACACGTAGAATTAAAGATTCTTTCTTAATTCTTCAGCACTAATTATACAAGTACACTAAATCAAACATACGTTACTTTTTATTTGATCAATCAATACACATGAACGAAATCTCAGGTAAAAACTGTAATATACATACATCTTTTACGACAGTAGATGTACGTTTACGAAACCTTTAAAAATTTCCAAGTTCATCTGATAAAACAATCATTCAAACGTCAAGATAAATAACGTTGTGATGAAAACGATAAAACTCGAATTCTGAAACATTCATGTTTTATACATACAATGTTTTAGAGTATGGCGATTTAAATTAATTTAAAATTATTTTAACTGAGAAGCAATACATAAGGTGTCCATAAGTACGTATAGAGGAGGGGGGCCCCTGAGGGTTTAATGAATGATAATGGTATGGTAACCCCACCGGCGCTAACGGTATACGCTGGCGAGGCACCAGTGAGGGATGACAGGTGAGAATGTAAAGGCAGGTCAGTTGGCCCATCATGATGAATACACTTGGGATTCAGCTACTAATTAATTACAGTACTAATTAATTCTACTCTATGAAATAGTACTTATTATTACTAATTATATTAGATTGAAATTACTATTTTCGCTACTCGTAATAATAAAAAAAAACTATTATTAGCACTTTTAAATCGTCTGTTTTTTTAATCTACTACAGGGTTCGGTAGGTTGTTATCTGTTGAGAAGAGCCCGCAAGAAACTCAACAGTTACTCTTTTAAATCACTGTTAACATTATGTGTATTTATTTAAATGTACTATGTCTAAAATTACATGGTCGGTAAAAGACACCATGACCAGACTAACACCATGCACATTTGTCATTCAAGTAATCGTTTAGTGCGCAATAGGCTTTGTTCAATAAGTGTTTTTAATAACAGTTTTAAACTTATTAAAAGGTAGAGCCAAAATATTTTTTTTTTTATAACAAAGGGGGCAAACGAGCATGCGGCTCACCTGATGGTATGTGACTACCGCCGCCCATGGTCACTCACAACAACAACGGCATTGCAGGTGTACTGCCGGCCTTTTAAAAAAGAATATCCTTCGGTATCTTATTATAACATTTAATGCCCATTCCTATAAACGACTTATTAACTTTTTCTAAACGATACTTTGTAGTTCAATAGCCTATCAATAATTAAGTAATTAAATTACAATAATTTACATAATCATTATGTATACTTAACACGAAGGGCGTTAGACTTAAACGGAATTAACATTTAATGGCCCAGAAATAAACAAGTGTACCTTGACAGTAAAATAATTAGGTTTATTTAAATAATAACTATTTATATATAACATAATATATATATATATATATATATATATATATATATATATATATATAATATAAATATATAATAATATATATATATATATATATATATTTAAATCGCAGACGACTTCTTGCGTCTTTTCACTTCCGATACTTATTGCATCCCCCACTTTCAGTAAAATTACAATTGTTTTGAAAGTGAATATTATTACTTTATTTCGTGCTAAAATCAGTACCCATAATTATATTTCTTTTAAATAACAGATATCAATATTCAATTTTTAATATTTCTAGCCGACGTTCCGGAGTCCGTTCATAGCGGGAATCATATGGCACATTTGTATATTCCGTATATAGTTTGTATGTCATGCAAACTTCATGCGTCCATTCGTCTCGCAGATCATGCAGCACTCAGTATATTCGTATACTTATAATATTTTGTGTAAATTTAAATGCGTCCTTTTAAGACAGACACTATATGGCGCACCGTATATTTCATATGTTATGTATTCTATTTAACTAGCTTTATGCGTCTCTTTATAATGGAAATCATACGGTATTTTACGTACTTCCATATACTTTTTAAATTTACATACATGCAAGGTGTACATTAATTAAAAGACTTTTTTTCTAAAAACATATTCTTGTATTATTTAGAAAATTAGTACAGATATCTATTAAATAAAATTATTGATAACAAAGTAAATAAGATTTCTCATAATAACATTAAACAAAAGTATTTCTTTATTTAAGTCGTATTCTTTTATAAATTGTCTAAGAAAATCAGTACTAAACTCTGTTAAATGAATGTAATGAATACAAATAAAATTTCTTACAGTAACATTAAGCATTAACATTTTTAAATCGAAGCACTTTATTATTTTATTTACCTAACAAAATCGGCACAATTCTAAACCTATGAAATAAAATAATTATTCAGAACAAAGCAAATAAACACTTTTAATTATATAAAAGAATTTATAATTACAATCAAATATTTGTTTTATCTTTGTAAGAAAATCAGTACAATCTGTAAACTCATAAAAAATGGTATAAAAACAAACAAGACCTCTTATAATAACATTAACTAACAAATTATTTAACAAAAATCACATTATTGTTAAATCTATAGTAAAATAACTAACGTCAGCAACATTAATAAATCTGTAAGCTTAATATAAATAATATTACTTAGATTGAACACTAACACGCACATCTTAATTATATTAATATATGTATATTTTAAATAAAGAGTCATATTAAAAGATAAGCAAGTTTTAGGAGTAAGTTTGCTTCAAATAAACCAATGTAATGATAATTATCCTATTTTTTAGAATAAATATTTTGAATAAAAACTTTAATTTTGAGCCAGTCTTTATTTTGTAACAGTTCTGGGTATTGTCCTTTTAAATTTTCGCATTCTAATTTTCTGGGAGGTTTTTTATTTTGTATATGGCTCTTGAAAAATTTGGTAACAACTTTCTTTTGTTCCATAGACCAGGGTACTAAGTTTCTCTTTTTCCCTTTTTCAATTCTTTTATCTGTTATTGTCATCACCTGGTGATTAGGTTCAGATATTTTATTTTCAATCCAAATTCCAGGTTGTACACAAGAATTTTCAACTGACAATTGTGGTGTGGGTAAATCAAAATCTAAAATATCATCATTTACAATTTTTTCTTCTTCCTGCAATTCTTCATTTAGATCTAAATCTATTTCATCTAAACCTTTCCCTCTATAAGCATCTGCTTTTCCATCTTCCATAAGTATTAGAAGTTTTGAAATTTTAGCAGTTTGATACACATCATCTGGCAATCTATACGATTTCTTATGAACTTCATTAGTATGTCCCATGAACGTAGCTAATTGTTCCAGATCATTTTCAGACATACTAAATATTTGTGATAGCGTCGCTAAATGTTTTCTCAGTCTTGTGGAAGAAATTGCTTTCGGATTTTTTGCTCCAGATAATCTCGAGTACCTTTCCAAAACTTTATACCCATATATCGAGTTCTCAAATCCTGGGTTCCCAAACAGTAATTTATTTGTTGTAGAAACAAATTTGTCCCTTATTGTAAGCAGAAGTTTTATATCACCTTGAACTTCTTTACTAAATAACACGGGAACCCCACGTCCTCGTTTGCCTCTAACAACAACTCGTTTAAATGTTTTTACTAAAACTCGCTCAGATGCACTTAGCGTTCGATCGAATTCTTCATATTTTTCAGAAGTATTTAGGTCATTTTCCAAGTAATCATGTAGCGTAATTCTTTGAAGTTCCCCAGGTCTGCGCCGATTCAGTAGCAAAACTCTGCAATATATTGTCTCTAATAATTGTATGTATACCCCAAGATGATAAGAACCTTCTTTAATTTTATTGGCAGCTTCTTCAGCGTGTTTGTTAAGAAATTTTTTTAAAATTTTTAAATCATTTGCTAAAGGTATTATGGTAACTTTATTCCACTTTTTTTTGTTTAGATCGGACGCAGCCTGACTTGAAACATCATATTTCCAATTAGAATCTATAAGGTGTATCAAAGTTTTGAGGCCCGCTTCTATTTCAGCAGTGTTTACTTCCATATATGGCCCTTGTTTTTTTAATGCAAGCATAAATGCTATATTGCAGCACTGCTTTATGCTAGTAGAAATATTCATTGCAAATGTAGGCGAATCAAATCTATCTTTTTCCGAGTCATATTTACCTACAACCTTTGTAGCTGACACTATAAGATCATAATATTTCGGATTAAGTGCACCTAATAAATCTTTCACCGATTGATCTTTTTTTCTTATTTCAATTAACAATTTAGCTAGTTCTCTCATTTTTCTAGAAATTACATTCACAAAATGCATTTCTCTATGATTTTTCATATATTGTGACCCAAATGCACAAATGAGCAAATCTGATTTAGCAACAAACGATATTTTATCAGGTCTCATTCTGGGGAATACGGTTTCTTTAAGTTTTTCATCGATTTTCAAATGTTTTATTAACAAATTTTGTGCTTCTGATTGCACATTTTTAGTATTTTTTCCAGTGCACTTCTTATTATGTTTCCATAAAAGATTTCTTGAATAAAATCCTAAGCAATTAGTGCAAGGTAAATAATTAGTATATTTATGTTTTCTCATGGGCTTCGTCACTTCGACAGAATTTTGTATAAAATTTCCTTTTTTTCTTAGTTCCGTAATAAGTTTTTTTCTTGTTATACTTTTTTTAGGTACTGATAATATTTTTTGTACTTCTGTTTCAAGAGCATGGTTTCTTAGTAAATGTCTCGCAAAATTTAGAACTAAAGTTTCGCAGTAAAAACAAAAGTCTTTATTACGGATTACTTTTTTTTGAAGGATTTTCATATTAGGTATTACTATCTCATTTTTATTACTGTCTCCAAGAACATTATTATTAAGGTGTATAACTACATCTTGTTTCGAAGGATAATTTTTATTGCATGAAGAGCTCTCAATGGAAATTATTTCGCCGCAAGAAATATTATTTTTATTACTAATATGACGACTAGTACTATCTACATCTTTTGTTGATTCTTGGATGTTTCTTTCTAATATGACGGGACAGTTCATGTTCTCTTGTAGGAATGATTCATCAGAGCTAGTCTGCAAAAAATACATTTTAATTTTTAATACATAAATTTAATGTATTTAATCATTATGATGTTTTTGAGAAACATAATACAAAGTAGAATTCAATGATATTTTTTAATATAAGAATAAAGTATTTAACATTGAACATTTTTTCTTTTATAAAAGAACAAATGATAAAATAATTATACATGGTTTATAGAACAATGTACAGTACTGATAATACTGATGACATTGAACAATATACTTCTATAAATGTAGTCGAAATAAGAAAGCATTTGTTGAGTTTTTCACATAAATAAAATTAGTATGAAAAATTAAAAAAATAAATTTTTTATTAAGAAATATAATCTAAATTCATATTTAGATTATATTTCTTAAATGAATTAGGACTGATATAACAAAATATAGAAAAATCTAAATGGAAAGTATTAAAAATTCAAATAAAAAAAAAATTGTCTCCTTACGTCATGTGCTGACGGAGTGTAGTTGGAATCTGTTCCCGAATTGTAATTACTTGAGTCAGACATTTCCTATAACAAAAAGACGATGTGGTTTAATAAAAAAATAACCTATCTGCTGCGTTTTAAATTTTGTTATTGCTGTATGTGAATAGATAGGTAACCAGTTTAAAATTAATGATGGTTGGCAATAATTTACTGAATTATTTCCATAAAGAACCCCACCATACTATAGGTAACTATAGTATAAAAGAAAAAAGATAATTACCTCATTATTTGTTGAATCTGATGATAAATTCACTGATGTTTCAGTTTTTTGACAGGAATCTGAAAATAATAAATAATCCACTTATCTAATAGATTTATAGGTAACTATAATCTCTTTTTTTATAAATGGTGGTAATAGTAATATATCTTTGCATGATTTTTATTGTTATAACATTGTGTAAAACAATTGGCTAAAATAAAAAGATTTTGTTAAAAAAATTAATCTTAATTTTAAAATTAAGGTATTTTTTTTATAGAAATCATTATTTTAAAAATAAAAAAGATAATTTTTTATACAACTTAGAACGGCAAACAAGCTGATAGCCCACCATCCCACGCAGATGGAAAGTGGTAACCGTCGAAATCAAATTAGGCAATAGTACATAACTAAATAACACAAAAGTATATTTAATATACTAAGAATGTCTATTATTTCTGTGCGATTATAAATAAAATATGTTAGGTAACCTTTTTAAGTACAAAAACATTCGTCTTCCGGGTAGTGATCGTAAATTGCATATTGACAAATATTACACCAAAAGAAAGAACTATTACACAGCTTTAGTATATCATCACGATTCATAGATAAAACGAAATGATTTGGAATCGAATCAAGATCTTTTGTAATTTTTGTGTCACAAACACAACATGTCTTATTTAAAACAAAATGAGTGGAATACCACGGCCACAGTAGACAATGTTTGTAATAACTTTTGAAGTCATTTCTATTAAAAAATCTATCTACATCAATAACAATGACCATGATGAGGTCGTGCGATTTATAACGACGAATCGACTACTGCAACTGTCTTGATTTTATTGTATGTTTAAGATAACTAAATTATATGTATTAGTATGTAGGTAAGGACGTAGGATTATGTCCTTAAAATTTCTTTTAATTTTCTAACATAAAGTATACTTACTAATATAAATATTAGGTACTTACCTTTCAATAATTGTAAAATTCTCATACTCCTTTTCATTTTCGTTTCCAATATTCACTCCTGATATTCACTAAACTCACGTATATAACCTTTGCAGCGTCCTCTCATAAAGGACGCTAAATGACCATATGCCACACCGCTCTTAAATAAATAAACATTACAACGCGCGAATTAAGACAGCTACCCCCTCCCCCTCCGTCTCTACTCCTTGTCATACGTTCCCATATACATTTTACTAACGGAAGCAATTAAATAATGAATTTAGACAGATAAAAACTTGAAAATTGCCTATAATATACGGTAGTGGCATTCGCGGAGTAATGTATAGAAAAAAAGTTGTATATACGATGCGCCGATATACGGCGCACAGTATCGCCCTCCAAATGTTGTGCGACAAACCGCGGAACTAAAAAATACGCCGAATTACAATAAGGTGACCAAATAGCGTCCATGCCAATTTTTTGGTAAAACGTTATACTAACAATAAGGAGTCTGTAGCATAAAGATCAATCTTGCGTCCGGTATACGGACGCAATAAGTCAGTAGGACGCAGTATCATTGGTAAATTCGCCCATATAAGACGCAAGATTGCCTCCAAGATTTATATATATATATATATATATATATATATATATATAATATAATAATTACCCTGGCATAAAATAGGTTACTCCTTCCTTTCCCGTTGGTGTCGTAAGAGGCGACTAAGGGAGGGTGAGGGATGGACAGCAGCGTCCCTTTTCAAACAATCTAATAATCCGCCTACTAAGCGTGGCAACTACTGGCAAAAATCCCCAAGGGGGAGGCTTACGTTCAGCAGCGGACGGTTAAGGGCTGATATGGTGATAATGATATAGATAAACAACATTTTATTATTTTTAGATACAAAACGTAATAAATTGACTTTTGTGCGAGATATTTATTTATAAATAATCAATAAAGAATAAATAAATAAATAAAACTGTTAACTAGACTATGCCAGTACGTAGGAGATAGTCCGGAAAAAATAGTATAAGGAATCTTAATAAGAACATTTATTAAGTCACTCTTGCGCCACCTACCCACTTTTATTGGGAGTTTGACAGCCCCATTGCTAGCAATATGCCTTATTAGGTCGACCTACACGTGGTTCCCCCTGGAATCCATCATGAACATTTCTTGTTGAATTCGTCACGATGGGCTAACTGACCTACTTCATCCTCACCTATCATCCTTCACTGGTGCCCCGCCAGTGTATGCCGATGGCGTGGCATTCCATTATCATCCATTAAAAAAAACACTTCTATCGGGGAGAAGGGATAGGTTAGTAATGGGAGGTTAGTCCCCATTGCTGTCAATGTACCCTATCAGGTCGACCTCCACGCGGTTCCCCCTGGAAACCATCGTGACTAATTTATCATTGAATTCATCACGATGGGCTAACTGACCTGTCTTTTCATCCTCACCAATCATCCCTCACTGGTGTCTCACCAGTGTATACCAACAGCGCAGGCGGGTTACAATTCCATTCCAAGGTTGTCTGTAAGATATTGCCCTAGCAATAAGACCGCCTTTTGTACCTTTATGTGTATATATATATTATATATATTTTTTATGGGTGAAAATGGTATTGTAACCCCGCCTGCGCTAACGAAATACGCTAGCAGAGCACCAGTGAAGGGTGATAGGTGAGAATGAAAACAGGCCAGTTAGCCCATCATGATGAATTCATCAGGAATTAACCATAATAGTTTCCAGGGGGAACCGCAAGGAGGTCCACCTGGTTGGATATAATGCTAGCAATGGGATTCTCAGTCTCCATTACTAACAATACCTTTCCCCCCTTATGTGTATATTACAATCTGTATTTACGCTACTGTATTTCACTCGAATTTGTACCAGAAACATAAAAATATACAATTGTCATTGTGTATTTTTATGTTTCTGGTACAATAAAGAGTTAAGTAAATAAATAAATAACGATAGTAAGAGAGACTGATATAATATTTTTTTAAGAATTACAGTAATATGTAATAATTTTTGTTTATCTATATATTCCGGCATCACCTAAATCGGATGCAGTTTTTACAGTTTTTAAGGTAGAATTTTAAATCTTGCTTACGTTTTATTCCCGATATCCCGTTAAGGAATGACCTACTTCATTTGTATTCATACTTTTGACATCCACGAGTACGAAGTAGCGTACAAAACCTAGTTTCTTATATAAGCTATTAAATTTTATATCATTTCCTTTCACAGCTGTCTGGAAACAATGTACTGGAATTGCTGCGAGGAGAAATTCTGTTTCGATAAGAAGATAGCATCGTTTAAGTAAGTTATAATTACATCTAGAATTCATTTTTGTATTAACAAATTAATGCAATTGCGGTATTATTAAATTACGAGACTTTGTACAAAAGTCGATTGCTTGTGTACCTCTGTCCCATTCGTGTTTTAACCGTGAAGTAGTCGTGTTTGCATGGCTGTGTTTAGGTTTGAAGGGTGAGATATGGCGTGTATTTACAGGGTACAGAGGAATAACATCGGAGTCCTCAGGAATGGCATGGGCGAAACAGTATACTCTGTTATGTCCATGGTACTGCGCATGTCTATAGGCGACGGTTACCACTTTACATCAAGTGGGCCGTCAGCTTGTTTGCCATTCTAAGTTGTATATAAAAAAAAAAAAAACATTGCATTTCATTAATAGATTCAAGTGTTTGTTTATTAAATGGTGTTGGTTTGTTAATCACATCACGTCGCCGCCATATTTCGTATGCAACATCAAGATGCGACACATTTTGTATTGCTATAGATAAGAGACCATGTCACGGTCGTTATTGTTTTGAAATTGGTCGACAACACGCCTCTTCTATGTATACGTACCCACGGTAAATGATGTTTAATGATATTTAGATGACTCGATGATGTCACAGTTTACAGAACTACTTTTTATAATCTGCTCACACTGTAACCTGCCCAGGAGTATGAAGTATAATTGTACCAAGTTTCGTTAAAATCCGTTGAGTAATTTTTGTTTCTATAACGAACATACAGACAGATAGATAAAAATTTTACTGATTGCATTTTTGGTATCAGTATCGATCACTAATCACCCCCTAAAAGTTATGTTGGAAATATATTTCATGTACAGAATTGACCTCTCTACAGATTTATTATAAGTACATCTATAAGTATTATTATAAGTATATATAAGTCTTATGAAAATTAACTCTAATTGTCATAATATATATTTTTTTAATGTCTTTTTTAATTTAATTCACTCATAATCTTATTTTCTGATATTGCTCACAACTTAGATAACATATTTATTTTTGTTATTTGCTTAGTTTTCTCACACTGTATAACTATGTTAAAGTGAATGCTGTGAATACCTATAATAGGCATGTGCATTAATATTGTATTGTATTTAATGTTGTTATATCTATATGTTATAATGCAATATGCTGTTGGTGTTCCTTAAATAAATAAATAAATAAATAAATAGATTTTGAACCTGCATTTCTGCATCAAAGCTTCGTATTTATATATATATATATATTGGTTATCACATAAAAGATAAAATGTCTAGTAAGGCTTTTGCCAGCCATTTGGCATCGATTCGTTTGCATTAATAACAAGATATTGTACATAATCTGCTTATCATGAATATAAACGCTAGATCATGCAGCGTTTGAACTGGGGACGTCAGTGTCTCAACGTAAATATATGATAACAATCTATAATATTTAAATAGCAATGAGAATGTAAGGCAATGACATAGCTGACTTTTATAGAAGTCTTTACCTTGCGTAGGTCCTCAATTTAATCGTATTTTTTTTACATTACCACATACACTCTCATAACTTAGGACTCTGCATCCTCTTTTTACTCTTCTTCGAAACTCCCAGCCTCCTAATTACTTAAGCAGGCCCACCTGATGGAAAGTGGTAACTGTCGCCTATAGACATGAGCAGTACCATACACATAACAGGGTACACTGTTTCGCCCATGATACCCCCCATGCGTTGCCACTCCTGAGGACTCAGATGTTATTCCTCTGTACCCAGTAAATTCACTGCCATATCCCACCCTTTAAATCGAAACACAGCCATGCAAACACAACTGCTTCACGGTAGAAACACGAATGGAACAGAGGTGGCCAAGCAAACGACTTTTGTACAGTCTCCCTCTAGTGAGATTATCAAAGCCTAACTGCGGTTGCCAATAATTCTGCCAAGTATGACAACTACTAGCAAACCCCCTTTTGTGGGGCGGTCTATTTTCAACAGGGAACAAACGGTTGATAGAATGATAACTTGATAGCTGGATACGCCATAATAGTATGGGAAACCCCAAATATTACTATCATCTTTAACCTACGTGTCACTATCAAATTGAAGTCTATCTATTGATTGAAACGATTACCACTATGTAACTGGGATTATGGGTTTATTTAGAGTTTTCCAATGGGATTTATTACCTAGCAGCTTCATACAAAATCTTGGGATTGGAAAAAATTACCATAAAATTGACACTAATAGAAGTACATATATAATAAAAATCAAGTAGTACACTTCTAGGAAAACATTCGAGGAAAATAGTTATTTATTTGTTTTAATTTAGTATCTATGTGGTTTCCGTAGATGGTATTTTATATGAGTGGTAATACCATTGCGTAATATTTATATGATTGTTGTAACGTACGTTTATTTATGTTTATTTATTTATTATTAGTTATGTTAATTCCTTCTACTTTGACTAGGGAAAGTATTTTTTTTTTTCAAAGGAGCACGAGTGGATAAACGGAAAATATTTTGTTTCAGTTTTCCAACTCATACCTATTTAGGAAAAAGTCATTAGTTACATTGGTAGACAGCGTTTTAATAGATTTTTTTCCTAGTCAACCGATTTAAGATAAGGTTTATATAGACCTATTGTGAAATTGGAGAAATATAAGAAAAAAAAACTAATAGGACTATATAGGACGATAGAATTAATTTGTATATATATATATATATATATATATATATATATATATATATATATATATATATATATATATATATATATATATATATATATATTTCGCGATTTAAAAAAAGCGTGAAAATTTGAATTTGTATGTATTTTTCAGTGCTAAATCATAACAAAAGTAAAATAAAAAAAATTGTCAAAAAAATTAAAAAAAAAACATTTAGGGGTAGGTCACCCTTATCATTGAGGGATATGAAAAATAGATGTTGGCCGATTCTCAGACCTACCCGATATGCACACAAAATTTCATAAAAATCGGTAAAGCCGTTTCGGAGGAGTTTGTTAACAAACACCGCGACACGAGAATTTTATGTATTAGATTACATATTTACATTTATCACACATGGGAGATAGCAATGCAAACATTTACATATGTAAGCAAATACAAGAATAATAAATGTACGCATTGTTCATCCATACATCAATGTCTGACAACAACTATGTTGACACCGTAACGAGAGTATCCATAGACATGAACTGTTCGAAGAGCATTCTGAATCAAGCTGATGAAACTAGGCATGGATACTGATATATATATATATGTGTATATATATATATATATATATATATATTGGGTTCTTTTGGACGTTGATGGGCGGGTATTATGAATGGTTATATAGAATATATAATAGAATTTTATATATTAGATATATGTATTGTATTGAAAATGACATGATGATCAAGAGACCTTGTACACTGTATGGTAGTATTATATTCGAATATAAATTGTCATGCTTGAAGGTCGAAGTAGTTACATCTCTATAATTATGTATACATTTTAAATTACTTACAAGTTCCTGCAATTTGTACGAGTCGAAACTATTATTGTGACGTACATGTTTGTATTTTATTGTAGGTATAATTTTTTTCTGACTACCTTCTACTCGCTACCATCATTGTGATTGCCTTTTTTGTCTTTTTTCTATTTTTAGTCGGCGCGGCGTGCTTTATTTTTTTATTCATACTCAAATTAATTACTGTAGATGGAGCTAGTTGTACAGTAAATATTTTTTTTATGATTCTATACTGTTTAAAAGTTCGTTTTTACACATATTCAAGTGTACTAATATTATAAAGGGGAAAGATTTGATTGTTTGTCACGAATAAACTTTATTTCAAATTAAAATCCATTTAATGTCGGACAACAAGATCTATTTTGTTGATACTAGATTTAAAATTATGTTTTCTTTATTTATTTATTCATTAAAAATAATTATAACATTATAACAGCCAAAGCCAAATCAATGTTATAAATCTAGTGTGTTAATATAAAAAAGCTATAATAAATGTATTTAACCCGACACTAGATATGTCTGAGCCGCTTCCAATATCTTTGGCAGGCTACTACTAAATATATCAATAATGTTTATAATATTAGTAGGTAATATAATAATTTAATAAACCATATCACTGAGAGGCATTCGGTCGGGACGACAACAAACCAGAGGGCCTACCATGAAATGTTTTCCGAAATTTCGGAGCCAAACGAAACACAAATTTTATGTTAAAATTACGTAATACATGCCGTTTGGAAATATTAAAAATGTTAAAATATTGTTTGGAAATATTAAAAATGTTAAAATATTGTTTCTTTGGCGTTGTTATTTTGCGTTTAGGTCGTCATCCTGATGAAATGTCCTATCACAAATGCATGGGCATCCTCAGCTATCATTTAAAACTATTATCGACTTTGAAAATTTTATCACCCATAAAAATCTACATTATCAGCGAGTTATATATTATTTTTGAAAATTCTATCTATCCGTGTAAAGCCGGGCCGAATTACTAGTAAATTATAGAATTAAACTTTTTAGAAAAAGCAATAGCAAAGTTTTTGTCTGTTCTTCGCTGAAATTGCTAATCAAATGGGCGGTAGAATATTAAAAAATGTTTATTCAAAAATGCTTAAATTTAAGTTGGCACTGTACATTTAGAATAATTGTAATAAGTACTATTATTATTCTCATATCAGCCTTTAACTGTCCACTGCTGAACATAAATCTCCTCTTTGGGGGGTTTTGCTAATAGTTGCCACGCTTGGCAGGCGGATTGCTAACCGTAATCAGGCTTTAGAGGTGTTCCAAGACGGACGCTGCTGCCCATCTCTCGCCGTCCCTTACTCGCTTCTTACGACATCCACGGGAAAGGAAGGGGTGGCCTATTCTATGCTAGGACTGCATGACGAATAAGTTTTGTAATAAAGATTATAATATTACTTCTTTTTATAATTACAGGCTAGATGAGGATCATGCATACACCAACGGGCACGCCAACATGGGCGCCAGTTTGGACAGCGTAGTGACGGAGCAACCCATTAACAATAATCACTTGCCTCTAAGGGCTATATCTGGAAGGGAGTTGAATGAACTACCGGTACACATTGATAAACTTTACGAGGTAAACATTGAATTATTTCTCAAATTTAAAAAATAATGACAAATAATAAGGACAACGCCATCTATCGAAAATAATTGTAGTTATTCTATAAATACGATTATTTTAATCCAACATGGGCGCCAGTTTGGATAACATAGTAACGGAGGAACTCCTTAACAATAATCACTTGCCTCCACGGGCTATATCCGGAAGGGAGTTGAATGAACTACCGGTACACGTTGATATACTTTACAAGGTAAACATTACAATTTGAATGATTTCTTCTGCTATTTAAAATAAAAAATAATGTAATGTAAAAATAATGGCATTTAATAAGAACAACGCCATCTATCGAAAATAATTGTAGTTATAGAAGTGGAATTATAAATATTTGGTGCAAGCATCTTTATTTACGGGATACGGTATCGAGATACATTGATTGACTGGGATTAAAAGCAGCCAATGTTCTACGATCAAATGGTACGTGTATACTAAATTACAAGACCATAGGTTGAGTCGCTAATGCGCCAAGAGGTAAAAAAGATTTCATTTAGAGAAACATCTTCATGTTTACAATATCCAGAAGAACTAGATAGAAAAAGAAGTTTATGTGTGAACGTATTAAAGATTAAATACTCCTACGTTATATAGATATCTAATAAACTTAATCTGCTACTAATTAAGTTTAATCTATACTCTGTTACTAACTATATATCTACTTGTAATTTATTATTTACCGTATTATATTTGCACTATATATGTTACGCTTTAAATACAAACCCTAAAGACGCTTTCTCCTTTCAGGTTCTTAAGGTAGATTGGAAGAAATCCCTTTACGGAATAAATCTGCCTGTGTATATTTTTATTTTAACCTAATATAAGTGAATGTAGTTACAAAAGCATATAAATAAATAAATCAATTCCACTAAAATATTGCATTTCTATGTTACAGGTTTTCTCTAAATCTTTAATATTTAGAGACGACCATGAGCTCAAGGCGAAAAGCAGCGTCGACTCGTTGGACGAGTACGAAACGAAATCGGAACCTGACTATTTGTCCGATAAACCCAATCGATCAAAAGTTTACTTTGAAGACGAAATCAACTCACCAGTCACTGATTTCGAGATCATGTTCAAAGACGAACTATTAACTGGTTATGACAAAGATGAACTATTATCCGGTTATGACATATTCAAAATTGAAGAAGAAGAAGAAAGCGATAAAGCCAGCCAAGACACTGAAGAGGGACTCACAATGAACGTGTCTGTTAAGAAACAAGACGTTATAAAAACAAGTACTGTAACAATAAAGGACGACTCAAAAATTACGACAATTAATCCAATTTACAAGTACGACCCTATTTCTGTAGTCGCCTTACCTTCTACTCTAAGTCTGCCGAGAGTAGAAAGTGTTAAAGGTATTCTCAGGAGCAACAGTGCAAAAACATTAGAAAGAGTAGACAGCGGAAACAGAATATCTAGACCACAAATCAGCCGAGTGGAAAGTCTAAAAAATATAGATCCTACAAAAATTAACAGAGTGCTATCAAGAGTTCCACATAGGAGCGCTTCGTTCTTGAACATTCCAGCTCATCTGACGCCAGCGAAACCGCCGTTGGTGAAGTCCAAATCCATGGTCGGGGTGTTATCAGCAACGGAAGAGTTGAAACTCAGCAGTCTACCTGATACACCAATTATAAAAAGCAATAACCTCCCAAGATTCTTCGCCGATAGCCCCTCTATACCTGAATACAGAGGTGATGTGAGTCTACAGAGTATAAAACAGAAATCAGCCATGATGTTCCAAGAGAACGATTTCAGCATGCCAAGATATTACGGTACTGTAACAAAAGCAACGGATCCCAATCCGGTACATGAAAGCAAGTCAATGCCGGATTTGAGGAACCCTAACTCATCCGGGAAGTCTAGTAAACGGTTAGTAAAACTGAGAAGTAGATTGAAACCTTTAGTTATTAGAAAAAGTTCCGAAGAAAAATTATAGGTATTTTAAACTATTTGACTATAAACAAATTGACGTAATAAGCAATGTTAAGAATAAAAATATATTGCCATAGTGTTTTCCCTGTAAAACACTTAAGGAAAATAAATTTATAAATTAATTAAATTTTGTTTAGATTTATATAGGTATACTTCCAAACTATTATGATAATTTATTGTCATAGTTATTCATGATAATTCTAATTAATAAATATTTTTGAATGATTATGACTATAATAATATAATTAAATTGTAACCAGACAATATGGGAGATATTTAAGAAATATTTATTTATTAGGACCTACAAATGTCGAAATATTGTTGTTTTATTTTGATATTTATCTGTCTATATTTTTATACACAATGATAAATCGTCATTGATACAATTTAATTACTAGAATTAGAATTTATATACCGTAATTATGAAATGTGTAAGAACATAATGAAAACGATTTTATAGTCCCAGTGAATTTATTAATAATTAATGAGATTAAATATTAAATTCGTTGCGAAAAGTATTACTTTAAACTCAGTGTTATTTACATTTAATACAATTTTAATTATAAAAATATACTTCTATTTAATTTAATTTAACTAAAAGTAACCTAATATTTCATATAAAAATTAATTCGATTATATCCTTTAAAATGATTTTCATTCGTTTTGTTATGTTTTATTTAAAAATATAATCTCATGTCTATATTTCTACTAACCACTTACCAAAAAATGAATACAGTTTATAATAATATTTTTTTTTTAACCTATTATTACTTATTGTTAAGTACTTAATAACTCAACATACTTTATTCACTGTATATTCACTACATTCTATAATTTTAATTGCTTTATTGAATATCTACAGATAATATCAATATTTTCACATCTTATTTTACACATTTAATAATTAAATTGTAAATAAAATTGTAAAATTTATTGTTATCTATTTTTGTATTAATTGTTATTTAAATATGGATTTAAGAAAGTTTTATCTATAAATAAGGATAGTCTGCTTTAATGTTAATTTTTTTTTAAAAACTATTAGCTTTATTTACCAGATCACAATGTTAAATGTTTAATTATTATATCTGAATAGTAAAATAAATATAGTTTCAATTTTAATATACCTGTTACAGTATTTGTCATAAAGAATAATCAGTATTCATTGCTCAAAAGATTGTACCTATCAATTGTGATTTTACGATACTTAAAATAGTCTTGAACAATAACTTAGCTAAGTAAATTAGATTAGAAACATAGATGCTCGCAAATAAATGCTTGTGATTAACTCGATAATAATATGACCATCACGTCGTCTAGTCAGTTCAACTAATTGGTCAAACACCAAATCGTAATTTTATATTTAAGTTAATATAAAAATCTGCTTATTGATTAGATCTGTGTATAGAATTCGTGACTTAATTAAAAATAACATAATTTATATATAATGTAAAGATTAAGTGCAATTAAATTAAGTATTGTGTAAATGTTAATTTATTTGTGTAAAATTACACAAATAATTTAATTAATTATTAATTAAACTGATAATATATTAAAATAATAGTTTAAAGACAATTTGAATGTTGAATAGTTTATACCAATAAAAAAAATACATTTGGTTTATATGTATAAAATTAATTAATTCTATGTAAAATTTAATCTCACTACACAATATGTCTCTAAAGTACTAGTAGATGAGTAAAAAAGTTGGATGAATAAAGAGAGATGTATAAATAAATTGAAGTTTTATTAAAGGACTAGTAATTTGCCACATCGACAACCCGAAGGATAAACAAGCTAGTAAAAAAGGTTTTTGAGTAACAACTCCGTCCGGGCAAACGCAGTGTAGAACGAACACCCATTAGATGGAGTGACAACCACAAATGTATTGCAGGGAGTCAATGGAGGCAGATGGTTCAGGACCGTTTCCTATGGCAGGTATGTGGGGGAGACCTATGTTCAGTAGTATACAGGTGATGTCTGAGATGATGATGATGATGATGAATTTGTCATAGCTACAAATGTATTTTTATTCCCGTAAGAGTTTCGGAATATTATTCATTTAAGATATCATAAAAATAATTACCTTAAATTATGTAGATAAGGTATCGAGTGTCAAAACGTCAAAATGTTTGACTAACTTTTTTTTAGAAAAAAACACGTTTTGTTTCAGTGTTGCAAGTAATTGTACTAAAAATTTCCCAGATCAGTAGATTATTCTTAAAATAAATTCCATTAGATCGATATTGGAATTAGGGCGTTTTGCACTTTCGAATCGCGACACTAGCGACATAATGGTTCCATATCCCTCTGGTAGATGCATGATAGTATAACTTGCCAATGCAAACTTGCAAATCGATTCCAATTGTAACCTAATTCCTATCTATTGTTCCATGAGTGCAGTAAAAAGTTGCCATTGGCAATAGATTGGATTGGGGGGAAAGGGATTGTTAGTAATAGAGATTGAGAATCCCATTGCTAGCAATATACTCAACCAAGTCGACCTCCACGCGGTTCCCCCTGGAAACTATCATGGTTAATTCCAAAGAGTGGTTGTGCGTGGGAGAAAGTGCCTTTGATGAATTCATCGTGATCGTCAAATGGGCTAACTGGCCTGTTTTCATTCTCATCTATCACCCTTCACTGGTGCTCCGCCAGCGTATCCCGTTAGCACAGGCGGGGCTGCCATTCCATTTTCAACAATAAAAAAAAAATAGATTGGATTTGTTTATAATATGCTGGTTCCTTTTAATTATGTTGTTATTTATTAATTGTATAAAATTAATTTAAAAATACCGTCTGATGACGTGATTATATTTGTGTTACTATTCATTTATTTTTAGCTTACTTTTTTTATAAAAAAAATTACAATTGTCTGTGTCTATAAAAGTTCATTTTGAACGGGAATGATATCGATATTAGATTCAAGAGTAGATTTTTAAATTTGATTTGGGAATTTGTTTTATATTATAATATAAATATACATATTATTTACATGTATTTATAAAAATTCAATTATTTAAAAACGAAATTATATTTTGTTTGTACTTATATATAAATGAGCGCATACACTGATGTGGCAGGCCCTACTTGGACGAGACTCGCAAAGGACAGAAACATGTGGAAACGGTTGGAAGAGGCCTATATCCTTAAATGGATACTCAAGTAAAGGAAAAGATATAATAATAATAAGAATATAAAAAAAAAAGAATGAATAATTTAATAAGTAAAAGTAATCAATGAATAATTTTTTATAAGTTTATTTTATTAAAAAAATAATAATTATTGAATGAAATTGCATGTAATATTTTTTTTCTTTTTTTTTTAATGGGAAATAAAAGGCTTTTTTATTTTATTTATTATTATTTATGGCACACACATGAAAAACCGAAATTGTTGTTATGGCACACGCATGAAAAACCGAAATTGTTATTTTGCTCTTTTTTTGTATATGTATTCTTTTATCTCTTTTTGCTGTGTACATATGTATTATGTGTATGTTTGTATCGTTACTTGTGTGCTGTAAGTAATACTAATAAATTATCTATCTATCTAATTTTAACATTAAATAAATAAAAGTCTTTCGTTTATAAAAGCCGGAATTTATTACAGAATTACTATTTCATACAATTTTCCATACAATATAGTATACAATATTATAATTATATAGATATACCATTTAAAATCCAACAATAAATTTTATAAGAAATAGATTTCATTAAATAACTCACTATTTCTACTAGGTATGCTCTAGAGAATTGAAATTCCATGTCCTATGTGTTTTTCATTGTTTCCAATTATAATAATTTCACTAATACTAATGTCTAAGTACTAATTAAGAAGGCGATAAATCTTATACGAATATACAGTGAGTGTAATCTAGCCAGTTTCGAACTCTACAAAAATAATTAGTTACAAAAATAAGAAGTTTCATCTCATGTAAGTTTCATCATAAAAAAAAAATTAAAATAATATACAATGGATATATATCTATTTTTGTTTTCTAGGATAAAACTTACAAAAGAGTGTTGCAATAGATATAAAATTATGACGAAACAATAAAAATCTACGATTAGTATGCAGTATTAATTTATTTTTTAACCTTTGCCAAGTCTTTTAGCTAAAAAAATATACAAGTTATCTGATAACAATCGTTTGTATATGGCACAAATATATATTTAATTAGTGAAAAGACTGTGGAGTGTTCTCTTTTAAAATAATATAAAAAAAAAACAATTTACAAAAAATTTTGAGATATTATTATGCAAATACTACAAGTTATAGTAAATAATATAAATATAATAAATTTTCCTTGTATATACAACTGTACTCCGGCTTCGCTTTCGCAGGGTAACAAGTTACTATGTACTGCGTCCCAAATATACTCGTGTTTGGCTACAATTGAGGCCATATAATTTTTACCATAATGTGTGTCTACTAAAAATAGCAACTATCTTACTTTGTAATTACAAATCAATATATTAACGGACAAGGAGAAACACGCTTTTTACACTTTACAATGATTTAGAATTATGCTACGCAATTCATTCGTTTTTTTTTATATATATATATATTTAAATGCATAATATTTAATTAGTTTATTTTTTATTTTTATGAAATTCTATCATACAATACGATACAGCGAATAATTTTAAATACATTGTAATTTTCATGTAAACTAATATGGATCAGGGTAATGTTATTCTAAAATTAGAAATAGTGCTTAAATCTAGTTGCGAATAAAACTATTGTACCATTTCTTTCTAGCTTCCTAGCAATGGCTCAGAACAATGGAATTGTGAAGCCTAGTATATTATATTAGAAGGCAATTTATCATAGAGAAGACATCTACCACTCTACAAGGGAGGACTAGAGAATTCAATTATAGTAACAGACATTTAAAAGTAACTATTTACAAATGTACGCCTCAAACCCGCTAAATATAATTACTCAACTAAAAATACTGAAAAAAAAAATATATTATACTAATATATTCTTTCTTAAACGACTACAGCTTGTTGGGTTATATCGGCCGATTTCAAAAACGAACTATATGCATAGTTGTGTTCGTGTTTGTCAATCAAATCAATTCTTTATTGTGCATACATTAAAATTTATAGTTCAAAGTCAAAAGATAACGAAGTCATTTACGTATAAAATGCATCAAAATTGTAAAAAAAATAAAATAAAAAATAGAATAATGTAATTCATACAAACCAGTGGAGCTGTTGGACTATTATAAAATATTAGAATCGGCAAAATATTTTTAGGTCCAAACAGATTTGGGTTTAGGAAGTGAAGCAAAATTATTTATGGAAAATTATTAAAAGAAATTCATTCGCGGCTTGAAAACGTTTAGTATTAGCGAAATATAACTCGATATCATTAAAATGCAGTTGGATTAGGAAATTTTAATTTTTATTGTCGATTCACTTCCTTAGCGTGCCCAATTTTTAATACACGGAAATTATTACATCTAAACATTTGTTACCATTCACAATAAAGTTCACAGATTAAAGAAATATCATTGAGTCAATTATAAAGTCATTACAAAAAAATTTTAATAATTTTTTTTTTTTAATTTCAATACTTACAATCATGGTATCAGATAACAGTCAGTATAGAGTTTTAATTGTGTTTACAGCAAAAATACAAATTAATTAAAAAAAAAAAAAAAACAGGTTGTTTCTATGCATGTTACATAGTTACTGGGAAGTTTCGATCTTACCGTCTTAGATGGAAGAAAATCCTAAAAGCTCTGTAATTCGTCAAAAAGTTGTGATAATATTTCTAAATCTGCGAACTCGCAATTAACCCGTACGCCGCCAGCTCAATTTGTAATTACCTAACGATCTTTAGTCTTCTAACTTTAATTGATACTTTGGGCCCAAGCAGTTTGAGGGCGATGGAGGCAGATGTAAAGTCCATGCCGGAGATATCCTTTCCGTCCACTGTTAGTATGTGGTCTCCTCGCTTGAGCCGACCGTCTTGCTCAGTTGGGGAACCAGGCAACTGGAAGAATTAGAACAACTATTATTTACGAGGTCATTAAAAAGAAACTGTTTGATAACCTGGCATCATTTGCTGGAGATATGAAGCAACTAATATAACAATTTGGACTATTTGTAATCAAATTAGGAAATGCTACTTCTTTACTTCCCCGTGGGAATATACTCTCTCAAGAGATTTAAGCAGTGGCCAATCTATTGCCAGATTTGCGTACAACTTCACTTATGATAAGCGGTAGTTGTTACATTAAACAAAGTTCTTTGTAGAACTTGGAATGAAAAAGAAATTTTCGACCAATATGTTTAGAAGCTAGTAACCGCCGCCTACAGACTAGAACAGAACAATCATTTTACAAAATATATCCATAGAAGGCAAAAAAGCAGTAGTACTGAAGAATTCCCAGTTTTGAGGAGTACTGATATTTTCATTTGTATTCTGTAATTTCTCTGTCATGCCATGGATATACAACTACGCAAGCACAGATGTCTGGACTTAGAAATAGAAGTAACAGAAAAAAGCGCCCAGTGCAAGGAACTTAAGTATAAAATCTCCCTCTAGTTAACGCATGAATATGGAATAAAATATCTGAAAACTTACAATCTGGGCAATGTAGACACCTTTGTCGTTAGAAAACGCCGCAAAACTAAAACCTAGGGGTTTTTGCTTGCGATTTATGTCCACCTCTATAGTTACGTAAGGGATCGGATCCGGACGGAAAACTGTGAATTTTAGCTGAAAATAAAAAGAAAACAATACAAGATGTGAGAACTTATTAACATTTAATGACACATTGTGGCCACCTGCATCCATCGACTTATATAAATTGAAATCTTCGCTTTTATAACTCCATTGTTACCAAAGTATCTAATCATGTCGATCTCTGTAGATCTTTCTTGTAAACTAATTAAATCTAGGTGAAATCATCACAATGTGCCAACTGACCCGATCTCATCTTCACCTGTCACCCCTCACTATAACTCTATCACTATTGCTAGTATTGGAATACTTCTTGCTACTACCATTTCATCATTCCATTTTTTTTTATTTGTTTAAAAAATAATTCAAATACAGAAGCAATCAAGCCTTTAGAAAACAGAAAAATTAGGACTTTTAGGACGATATAGTACAGTCTTGCTTTGGCAAAAATTGTCCAAAGTGCTAACCACTCTTAGCTGGGGAGAAAGGGATTGTTAGTAATGGGTTCTAACAGCCCCGTTTCTAGCAATACACCCTATCAGGTCGACTTGCATGCGGTTCTCCTGGAAACCGTCGTGGTTAATTCCTGTCGAATTCGTCACGATGAGCTAACTGACTTGCTTTCATCGTCACCTATGATCTGTCATAGCTGACTAGTGACTCACGGGTGCTACTATTCTATTTTCACTCATTAAAAAAAAACACCCTTACCTTAGGTGCCCATTGTTTGATGGTCATGTTGAGCCTGTCCTCGGTCATAGCGTCTGTAAGCGATATCCCGCAGGCGGCTCGGATCTGGTCACCGTGCTGGAGTCTCCCGTCGCGCCCAACTGGACGATCCTTTACCACGTCCAACACTACTGCTGCTGGACCCTGGGGAGAGAGAAATTGCATCCTGTTCAGTTCCATGTAGTCCGGGAATAGAATAGGCCACCCCTTCTTTTCCCGTGAATGTCGTAAGAGGTGACTAAGGGAACTTAATGGTCGAGAGATGAGAAATGGACAAGAAAAGCAATAGCTACGTTTTATCTAGATCAACAAATATATCCCTGCGTCAGAAGCCTTTATGTATAGGGAGCCTTTATGTACTTTGTACAAAAGTCGATTGCTTGGGCACCTCTGTCTCATTCGTGTTTCAACCGTGAAGCAGCTGTGTTTGCATGGCTGTGTTTCGGTTTGAAGGGTGGGATATGGCGTGAATTTACTGGGTACAGAGGAATAACACCTGAGTCCTCAGGAATGGCAACGCATGGGGGGTATCATGGGCGAAACAGTATACTCTGTTATGTCCATGGTACTGCTCATAGGCGACGATTACCATTTTCTATCAAGTGGACCGTCACCTTGTTTACCATTCTAAGTTGTATAAAAAAAAATGTACAAAGAAAACGGTCTAGCAATCCTGATACAAGGGACACCAATCTCGCTCGACTAAAAGTAATATATCCCGATTACGTTTAAAATCGAATATTATCACAATATTGTACTTACGTTAATAGACGTGTCGCTACCGCCGAGCAAAAATAATCCTAAATTTTGAGAATTCGTTGCAATTTCTATGACTGTTTCTTGATTGGGTACGATTGGCGCTGTTGCGGGGTCGGCTGGCGGTTCCGCTGCAGAAAGAATTAAACAAATGAGATCGTTAGAGAAAAATATACTTTAAATGGTAAAGAATTTAGTAAAATCTAAAGGGTTATTGAGACGAAAGAGAAATGAGATACATTGTGTTAAAAATGATAAAGAATATAACAATTAAAAATTGGAATTTCCGTATCCCTCCTAGTAATAAAGTACTAAAGTACCCGATCACTATATGTGCATCCTCTAAATATGTTTTTAATTTTAGGTTAAATATAATATTTTGTTTTGTTTATAATATAAATAAATATTCTGTATGTATATTATGTATGCATATATATATATATATATATATATATATATATATTTTACTACATATATTGTGTTATTTTAAAGAATACGGGAATTAACAGTGTTAACGTAACTATAAATTAAAAAAGTACCCCAAAATTACATATTACCCTAAAATATAAAGACACATAAATACTTATTGATAAATAAATAAAATAATACATTTGTTAGTTGTTACTGAAGACTAGAATAATATCTAATATCACATTGTCTACTTCTTACGAAGTCTTCTCATTGTTTACACCCATGCACACCAATTATTTGTACCGGCACCGCATTCGATCCCACGGCCAATGCTTTGCCAGTCAAATTGAACTCACGGTCATTCTGCTTATTGCTTATCATCTCTATCTTTCTCATCACCCAACTCTCCTTCCTTACTTCTGACGGGCGATGGCGCGGGCCTCGGAGAATGCGGGCGGGACGAGCCGGCGGCTGTGAGCCCTGGGTCAGGAGTTTGGTTCCCGCTGGCAGGATGCGACGCTGTACTCCCAGCTGATAAAAAAAAAAATTATAGATATACATATTTAATATACAAATTAAATTGACAATAAACAATTTCATCTCTGATTATATCAAGTAATTCGACATTTATTTTTCATTCCATAGGTTGACTGTTCTAGAATGTTTCTAAGTCGCCTATTTATATAATATTCTGAAATGATAATAAAAAAAAAAAAACTATAAAATATAAATAAAAATTTAAAATTTTCTTCTACTAAAAACGTCTTCGAACTTGATAAAATTAGTAAGGAATCGATATGGCAGTAAACACACGAGTAAGACTTCTACTTCGGAAGCGGAGGCATGACAGCACGCTTTTGTATACTAGTAGAACAAACGGACTGTAACATCCGTTGTGTCCTATTAGTAGTACAAAACGAACCACAAGATCGGTCTACTCGTGACCACTGCCCGATGTAACCTGGTCGAAACGTCTAGATTAAATAAAACAAGCAAATAAACCATACAATGCGAAAATCTAAATGGTCAAAAAAGAATTTATTTATTTCATTGTGATACATATTTATTAAAATTCATTCAATATTGGGGTACCATTTGTTAAATGAGGGAGGGGGAGATTAAAAATCCAATCCCATTAGTAATGGAGACTAAAAATCCCATTGCTAGCAATATTGGGTATATACCAGGTCGACCTCCATGTGCCCCCCCTGGAAACTATCATGATTAATTCCTGATGAATTCATCATGATGGGCTAACTGGCCTGTTTTCACTTTCATCTATCACTCTTCACTGGTATCCCGCCAGCGTATATCATTAGCGCAGGTGGGGTAGCCAATTTATTTTCATTATAAAAAACCATTCGTTAAATAGGGCGTTGCAGCATGGTCCCGGCATAGAATAGGCATCCCTTTCCTTTTCCGTGGGTGTGGTAAAAGGCGACTAAGAGAGGACGAGTAATGGGTAACAGCGTCTCTCTTAAAACAGCTCCAGAAACCTAACTGCAATTGCCAATTCGGCTACCAAGCGTGCCAACTCAAGGTGTAAAAAAATGCTTTAAAATATCTTTCGTCGCGTGCGTTGCGGAAACTATTGGTGAGAGAACAAAAGTATGTTCTACAATATTGAAGAAAATATCAATAACTACAAAAAACTTCGCGATATTATATGTCCAACTATTATCGTTATATCACAATAACAACTTTTTAAATAGTTGTAAAAATGTCTGCCCGTGCGAAACCGGGACGGGACGCTAGTAAGATTTATAAAGAAAAAGTTTCAAACCTGGAACAGAAGTGGCAGCAGAGCCGGTTTCCTCAGCAGAAGGAGCGTCCTCTTTCTTGTCCTTGAGATTAGGTGTGCACACTGTCAATTTAACAACGCCCTCTGTATGCTTCAATTTCGCTGCCGCCTGGAAAAATAACGGTAAAACATTTTAAAATTAGATCTACCTCCAATTCTGGCAATCTTCATTTTGATCATCCCTCAGGCCTGACTTCAGAATCGTTGTAATCAACATACTTAATTTTTTTTTATACAACTTAGAATGGCAAACAAGCTGGACGGTCCACCTGATGGAAAGTGGTAACCGTCGCCTATAGACATAACAGAGTGTACTGTTTCGCCCATGATACCCCCCGTGCGTAGCCATTCCTGAGGACTCAGGTGTTATTCCTCTGTACCCAGTAAATTCACGCCATATCCCACCCTTCAAACCGAAACACAGCCATGCAAACACAACAGCTTCACGGTTGAAACACGAATGGGACAGAGATACCCAAGCAATTTGTACAAAGTCTCCCTCTGATAAATACTAAAATGTCACTATTGTATTCAATGAAATGTATTAAATAATAAATTATTAATGATGGTTCGATATTCTCCAAAAAGAGCATTCCTATTGAAATAAAAACAAAAAATAAATTACAATTAATTTTGGAAGTTAGAATGCTACAAACATTAACAAATACAAAGCAAATAACAAGCTACAGTTGCTTTTAACATTTGACGTAAGAAATAATAAAAAAATAATATTAGACAAGTTGTGATCAGATGGAATTATATCTGTGGATATATATATATTTGTAATGAGCCTTTATATGTATTAAATTTTAAGCAAGTGAAGATTTATTTATTATTATCATTTACCAAAGACTACTTTGGTAAATGAAATGGTCACAACGAGAAAACAATGGGCGACCTTATCGCTAAGAGCGATCTCTTGCAGGCAACTTTTGGATGGAGAGGAGTAATTATAAACAATTTGGTAGGAGGCACGATGAAAAATTTTGTTAGTTCTAAATATGGGACATGTTATAAATATATATCCCTACGTATATAGATTAAGTTGACATATGGACTATGTAATAGTTGAAGGGTCTCGTGATTTAATTTATTAGCTTTTGCTATTAATACGAACTTTGTGATGGTCATTTTACCCAGTGAAATTTTATTTTTTGTTGTACACTTAACTGTTATTAAAATTAAATGCAACAGCTGTGTTTCTTGCCCGTTATTCTTAGCTGAAATTGCATTCCGAACTGGGCGGTAGATTAAAAAAAAATATTATAAAAAAAAATGTTTATTATTAAATTTGCTTAAATAAAAAATATTTTTATTTATTTATTTATTTATTTATAATCATTATCTCAACCGATAAAAAGTGATAATGCGGTCAAAGATGGAGCTCGTAGGAGTTTTCATGAATAAAACAAACAGAGTCTTACAAATTGTTAGTACAGAAAAAAATGATGCAAAAACCATAATGAATTTGACACATATGGCTTTCTAAATGTTTTATTGATGTGTACATCGAAAATATTAGTGGTTAAATTATGACAAATATTAGGTGCCATTGTGGTCAAGGAAATCATTCAAGCTGATGACTGGCTTCTGGATGAGTGATGACGAACTTAAAACGGTAACCACTTACAGCATCGTAGCTACACCGGAGTAAAGAATCTCTGTTGACTGCCAAAATCATGTCGCCTATCTGAAGACCAGCCTGTAATTATATTAAGATTTTTTTAATAATGTAACCATAAAAATATGGTAATTTAGCCATAATAATAGAAGCACGAAGATGATGATGTAAGGTGACTTTGAAAATATGATGACAATATTCTGAATAAAAGAAGAACAAAGCAAAAAGCGTAAGACACCGTGAAATATGTTAAAAAAGAAAAAAAAACTAAAAAAATAGTAGGTAACAATTACAATCCTAAAATGAAATTATTGCGAGTAGAGAAGTACAACAAACACAGATGCGAGAGTCAAATATATAAAAAGAAAGCCAGAGCAAGCCAGAAAATATATTCAAACAGGATCCTTGGATATTCAATTAGATAAATACAGTTTTACAAACATATAATGATATCGATAAGGGAAGAAAACGAAAAAAGGTGGATAAAAAATGGATGAATGGCGAATAAAAAAAAAAATAGAAATAAAACTGTTGGAAATTCTAAATTTTTATATTATAATAAATAAATATAACTGGAATAATGTTACAATATATATATTTTATAATGATTTATGTTTCCATATTGCAATATTAAAAATGTGAAATGATTTTTATTATCATTTCCACATTATAGCATTTTTTTAAGGCAAATAGTTGACAGCCCACCTGATGGAAAGTGGTAACCGTCGCCTATAGACATGAGCAGTATCATGGACGTAATAGAGTATACAGTTTCCTCCATGTAACTTCCCATGCGTTGTCATTCCTGAGGACTAACTAAAGTGTTATTCCTCTGTACCCTGTAAATTCAGTGTCATATCCTACCCTTCAAACTGAAACACAAGCATGCAAACACAACTGTTTCAAAGGTGAATCACGAATGGGACAGAGATACCCAAGCAAATGATTTCTACAAAGTCTCCCTCTAGGGTAAATTACATTTACATATACTTTGTACATGTAAATTACAAATACTTTGTACAAAAGTCAATTGCTTGGGTACCTCAGTCCCATTCGTGTTTCAACCGTGAAGCAGTTGTGTTTGCATGGCTGTGTTTCGGTTTGAAGGGTGGGATATTGGCGTGAATTTACAGGGTACAGAGTGATAACACCTGAGTCCTCAGGAATGGCAACGCATGGGGGGTATCATGGGCGAAACAGTATACTCTGTTATGTCCACGGTACTGCTCATGTCTATAGGCGACGGCTACCACTTTCCATAAGATGGGCCGTCAGCTTGTTTGCCATAAAAAAAAAAACTTTAACATTATTGAATTTTTAAAAATATTGCATAATAAAAAAAAAAAGCATGACCACTTGTCTTATTACAAGACGAATAACATCGGTTTGTAATTTAAAAAAAATAACAAATCTTAATATTTATATCTTTATATTATACAATAGTATTTTAAATATGGTGTCCGATCCTGACATACAATAGGCCACCCCTTCCTTTCCCGTGGCTATCGTAAGAGGCGACTAAGGGAGGGCGATTAAAATAGGCAGCAGCGTTCCCTTAAAACATCTCTAAAACATTGACTGCGGTTGCCAATTAGCCTGCCAAGCGTGGCAACTACTGGCAAAGCCCCTCAAAGGGGAGGTTAATGTTCATCAGTGGATAAATAAAGACTAATATGATGATGATGATGATGATGATGATGATGATGATAGCATTTTAAATATTGTTTTCAATCACATTTTAATTTTATATCTTATCACTACCTAGTATAAAACAAAGTCGCTGTCGTTGTCTGTCCGTCCCTATGTATTCTTATATCTTTAAAACTACGCAACGGATTTTGATGCGATCTTTTTTAATAAACAGACTGATTCAAGAGGAAGGTTTATATGTATAATACATGCATAATATAGTAGAGAAATACTGATAATTTTAGAGGTTTCTAATGTGATGTGATATAATGTACACCCGTGCGAAGCCGGGGCGGGTCGCTAGTTAAAAATAAATGAAAAATATTTTTGATGAAACAATAAAATGCAAGTTGCATGAAAAAAAAAAGAAATGAAATGGAACAAGTGACGAGGAAATAATAAGCAAAGCGATGGTGTTAATTGGACACGTGCTGAATCATCACAAACCTGTTCTGCAGCACTGCCTTCCTGAAGGTCTGACACGAAGATCCCACGACCTGCTTCCGCATGCCGACCCTCGATTATCATCAGGCCTAAGCCTGACGGACCCTAGCGATTTTCGAAATACCAGTAAAATATACCTTTTATATATAAGAAATAAGAGTGAAGACAATTCTTCAAATTAACTATATTTGTAAAGTAACCAAGTATGTTGTAAAATAAAATAAAAATATTTTTATATAAGGAAGTAATTTTGAATTCTAATATATATATATATATATATATATATATATATATATATATATATATATATATATATAAAAAATACTAATGAAATCAAATGACAGACGGAACATACTTTTTTGATGGTGATATCTCTCACACCCTTGTAACCAGCAAACCGATCTTCTGACTGAAACAATGTAAATGTAACATTTATTCTACTTCTAAACCATATTTATTTAAAGCCATATTATACCTTATTTGTAATTAATTATTATTAATAAATAATAAACTAATTCAGATTCATTATTTATTAATATAAAATATATATATATATATATATATATATATATATATATATATATATATATATATATATATATATTTAATAATTATATATAATTAATTAATATTTTTTTTAATAATTATTAATTATAATATATATTATATTTAATATTAATAATATATAATTTATATTAATATATATATATATATAATTGAAGAAAAATATATATCAGATTAAAAAATAATTATAATAAGTTCATTAAAATTTAAATAATAATTTATTAATTATAATTAATTAATGAATAAACAAGTATCAGTCTGACCTTTGCAATCTATGAAATAAAAATTGAATTTTTCTAGATAACAGTATTATGATATATCTCAAATTCGAGGTGTTTAAAAGTAATGTTAGTTCAAAAAGTAAAATTTATTAAAAACAAAATGTGTATTATAATAAAAATAAAAGTGTCACCATATTAATAATAAGAAAGTGAAGAAAATATAATTATTAATTCTGCATTAAACCAAGAAACTATTGATATTAGTAGATTGTTTCGGACGATCGCAGCGCGCCTCATCCAGGTTACTGGTAATCCGAGCGCTGGTAGCTACTTTGCCCAAAAGATAAGTTTGGCAATCCAAAGAGGTAATGCTGCCAGTATCTTGGGTACGCTGCCTCGGTGTGGTGCGTTGGGAGATTACTTATAATTAGTAATAGTATTTAAGGAATTGTATATTAACTTTAATTTATTGATGATTGAATTGTTAAAAAAATACCAAAAAATATAAAAAAAAAGAACATCAACCTGAAATAAAAGTATAATAAAATTATAACTGTAGGTAAATATATC